GGAAGATGAGAACTGGCGACTTTGTAGTACAACTTTAGTACGCGGAGTATCTGGGGAGCTGGAAGATGAGATCTGGCGACTCTGCAGTACTACTTTAGTACGCGGAGCAATCTGTGGAGCCGGAAGCTGAGAACTGGGATCTTTGTAGTACAACTTTGGTACGCGGAATATCTGGGGAGCTGGAAGCTGAGAACTGGCGACTTTGTAGTACAACTTTAGTGCGCGGAGTATAAGGAGCTGGAAGATGAGAACTGGCGACTTTGTAGTACAACTTTAGTAACTTTAGTACGCGGAGCAATCTGGGGACCTGGAAGCTGAGAACTGGCGACTTTGTAGTACAACTTTAGTGCGCGGAGTATCCAAGGAGCTGGAAGATGAGAACTGGCGACTTTGTAGTACAACTTTTAGTACGCGGAGCAATCTGGGGACCTGGAAGCTGAGAACTGGCGACTTTGTAGTACAACTTTAGTACGCGGAGTATCTGTGGAGCTGGAAGCTGAGAACTGGTGACTTTGTAGTACAACTCTAGTACGCGGAGCAAGCCGTGGAGCTGGAAGCTGAGAACTGGCGACTTTGTAGTACAACTTTAGTACGCGGCTGAGTCATCTCTATGCTGTGCTTTGCAAAAATGCATGAACGTTTTTTCTTGCGAGACAGTTGACGGTGGTTGCTTCGCTTTCGCTCCATTGGTCGGTTCCAACTTGTTTTGTCAAAGAACATCGCAGCTCGGCGAATCAGCCTGCCACATGCCCATTTCCTATAGGTTTATTATTTTGGAAATTTCCGCCGCCGGCTTGCCCGGGAACTACTTGTAAGTCTATATCATGTGCATGTTTTTCATTTTCTGCTCTACGCTGTACTTGCATAATTCCTTGCAAGTTCATGCTCACTCATACTTCACATCCTCATGTTCCAATGTCACACTTGGCGAACATGACTGCACTCTGTTTCTCAAGTGATTGCTCAGAAAATATTCAAAAAGACGTACTAGCTAGAGACATCTAGAAAACGGAACCTTTATAGTTTGCAAACTCAATGTCCTGTTCGCAAACTGCCCTTGCGTTATCCAAAGAGGGAGGGGAGGACCCTTTTAAGGCTTTGAGTAGGATATAGGGGCGGGGGCAAGTAAGGGAGTCTTCATCTTCGAACGCCCTTGGTATAAGACCTCCACGATCTGCCTTGGATGGTCCATAGATGTCCATAGTATATTAATGTATACTGTATATTTCCTCCAACCACCTCCGAAGTCGAGGGTGGTGGGGTGGCCCGGTGGCCCCTATAGATTCTTGGCCTCGGTGGTGTGGTTTTTTTCTGCGCCCTTTCTGCGCCGGCGCTCACCGACCTGTGCGTCAGGGGTTTTAATCACAACCGATGTTGTCCCGCCTTTGAACCTCCCGGTCGACTCAATCCGACCCAACTCGGCTCCAAATCACGGACCAACTCGCATGATTCGATCCTCATGAGATGAACAGACCACGAGATGAGAAGACGAAACCCACTCCTGTGGCGCCGTTCGCCGCGCCAGACGCCCGCGACCGCTTCGCAGGGCGCCCTTTGGCCTCGACTGGACCGACTCGCCACGTCCTCGCTACATGTTTTGGAGCTCCGAGGCGGGGCGAAAGGCCCGACACGGAGCGATCCGGAGGGCCCACTGGGTGTTGAAATGGTGTTGTTGATGTTTGTTTAGTTGAGGGGATTGCATTGTATTGATGTGTATCAGGTGTTTTGTAATTCGTGATGTTGGTGCCAGCTGGGAGAGCATAATCTTTGGCAGACTTGGAGGAATGTATGCATGGTTTGTTATGCTGGCTTCGGTCGTGTTCCCGAGTCCAGTGACAGTCACCCCTGAAGTCGATGTGTTTTTTCGATGAGAATGCAGGTTCAGATCAATGTGTGTTGAATCTGGGAATATCTGGGAATATCTGGGATTTGCAGGTTTCATATGTTTCATATCTATGTCATAGCTGTTGTGCTTTGTTCGGCGCTGCACAGAGTACCAATACCTTGATTGGTGTTGAAGCTGCTGTCTTGCCTAGTTCGATAGAACAAGTGCTGGCATGTGTTGGCAGCATGCTAAGAGGCATCAGTTACTGTAAGATCTAGTCGTTTCTTCACCACAAAATGATACGATATCATGTTTCTCATCATGTATGTACCATTCAAAATGATACGATATCATGTGTTCAGAGTTCGGGGCCTTTCTTCTGCGTGCTGCCACACGACGCGTGAACCTGCGCCTGCGTCACATGGACGCCACCAGTGCAGTGGCCCTGGTGGCGCTGTGCTGGGGCCCGGTGCACCTCCTTTTGACCAACGAGGACTGGGCATGGCTGCGAGGATGGATGAGCTCACTGATGCAGGTCCTCCAGTCTTGCGTTGTGGCGCGGCGAGTCGGTTTCCATGTTTGAGGCCATTTGAGGCAATGTCTTGCTTTGTTACTCCGGTTCACAAACTTGAACCTGGAGACTCAAGGCCAAGATGGTGTTGTTTGAGTTCCAGTTTGTTTCCGCCCCGAGAAGATTTCTTGAGAGAAGTAGACTTCTGAGTGTTTCGAACGTATCCGCAGTGTAGGATCGTTTTGAAAGGATGACATCCCTGCAGGTAGTCCAGCAAGTTGATATCCCGAAAGAGAGCCGGGTTGAAGAAGAGATGCTGAAGCTTCGATTGAAGCACTACCAGTGGCTGAGCCGTTCGTTGTCTCACCTTTGTTTGGTGCTGTGCCTCCATTTTATCCACGAAGCCTTGAAGATGCCAGGGTCAGGGACCATCATTTGGGCAATTTGTGGTGTCGGAGCCTATACCCAGCACTTGTCGATTGGAACCAAAGTGGTGGAATGCACGCCATTGCGAATGAAACTATTTAGCTACTTCATGCACATCCTGATCTTGCTCATTCTTGTGGCAACCGTGGCATTACCAAACGCATACAAGTTTACTTTGCTTCAAGGATTCACCATAGCCTGCCGCTTCTATTTGGTCTTTGCCTTTTTGGACCCATGGCTGACCATCCCCTTCCAAATCTTCTACACCACCGCTCAAATCTTTGTCTACTTGGTTTTCTTTCAAGTGGATGGTGCCGAGTTGCAGGCATTGTGTTTCACTCAATTCTTCATCTGGGGCATCAGCACTGCCTCTTCTGTGTTCATCGACATGGCACTGCGCGGACGTATTTATGCGCAGTTGGATTCCGCCGATGCGGAGTCTTTGGTTTCCGGCTTCCGGAGGGTCTTGAGAGGCGCTTGTGATGGCGAAGTGCTCTTGGACAACCACATGAATATTGCACAAGAGAGCGAATGCTTAAAGCATTTGATTCTCACCGATGTGAGTCTGAAAGGCAGGTCCTTTCAACGTTTACTTGTTGAAGATGAAGATGAACAGGCTCGCTTTGGCGAGTTCATTGAGGCCTCCACTCAGGCCTTTGGCAGGCCAGACTCCAAAGATTCTGCATGTCCCTCCTCCTTGAGGATCTCTTTGCGTACATCTGCTGGCATTCGTGTTGGTGC